GGACACGGTGCCGGGAACCGGGGGCCGTCGCCGCCTCCTCCTCCCGCCGCCCGTTCCCCCGCCGCGGCCCCGGTCGCCGCGCAGCCCCGCGCGCCGCCCGCCCCGCCGGGGACCCCATGACGTCACACCTGGCCGCTGACGTCCCCGGGATCCCGCGGCATCACCGGGGCCGCCCCCGCGGGGATCTCCCGCGATCTGCCGGGACCCGCCGCCGTCCCTGCACCCCGCCGGTGGTGTCACCGGTACCGGGGCATGGACCGGGGCCGGAGCCGGTGTCGGGCCCGGCTGGTGCCGGTCCCATGCAAACGGAGGGGGGGGGCACAGCCGGTGCAAGCCCGGGGCTATGGCCAGGAGCCCCCGGGACAGGGACAGCCCGGGGGGTCTGAAGCCAGCGGGGTCACAGCGTGGCCACAGCCCCCTCGCACCCCTGCCTTGGTGGTGGCACTGACGGTGGCAGGAGGGTGACACTGGCGGCCCCCGCACCCGGGATTAGCTGTACCCCGACTTCGGGGGAGGAAACCCGAGATGGTCACCCTGGCAAGGCCACGGGGACGTGCAGGGGGAGCCCGGGCTTGTGCCAGCCCCGGGGCACCGGATCCACCTCCACGTCCTGGGGAGGACACAGTGGGGACACGGTGGTCACCAGCCACCCCTTCCTGCTGCCCTCAGGACCTGTGTGGCTGGGGTCGGGGTGGGTGTCGGGGGGTCGCAGGGTGCCCCCGAGCTGGGTGGGTGTCAGGGGGGGATCACAGGGTGCCCACGAGCTGGGTGGGTGTCGGGGGATCGCGGGGTGCCCCCGAGCTGGGTAGGTGTTGGGGGGATCGCAGGGTGCCCACGAGCTGGGTGGGTGTTGGGGGGATCACAGGGTGCCCACGAGCTGGGTGGGTGTCGGGGGATCGTGGGGTGCCCCCGAGCTGGGTGGGTGTCGGGGGGTTGCAGGGTGCCCACGGCTGGTGCCAGCTCCCCGCCCCTGCCCCATATCTGTGGGTAATGCCAGGCTGCTGCGGGGCGTTTTGGGCCGTACCCCACGGCCGCGGTTCTGCCGGCGCTGCCCGTCCCAGCCGGTGCCACGCGTGACCCAGCGTCCAGCCCCGGGCACACACAGCACCAGGTTGGGGCTATAAAAAGCCGTGCGTGGGGTGGCAGCTGCCGCGGAGGGGGGTGTCCCGTGACGAGGACAGGGTGCCCCGACACTGGCAGCCGTGAGCGTGGCCCTGGGAGCCAGACCATAAATGTCCAAGCGCGGAGCCGGTGCTGGAACGGGGACAAGGCAGGGAGCTGGCACGCACACCCCTGCCCCACGCACGCGTGTGCACGCACAGCCCCACAGCACACACACACACACAGCCCACCACGGTACAGCGCAGCCCCCTGCGCCCCCAAACCCTCCCGAGGTCCTGGGGGGCTGAGCCATGGCCTGGCTGTGGGGTGCACGGCAGCTGGGGGTCCCCAGGGCTCCCCGAACACGCAATGGCCAGGAATGGGCACAAGTCAGAGGGGAAACTGAGGCACGGAGCCCACAGCAGAGGGCTCTCGGCCCTCCCACAGCATGCTTGTGCAAGGCCAAACTTGTGCAAGGCCAAACTTGTGCAAGGCCACCCCCTTGGGTGCTCACTGCAGTAGCTGGGGGAGGGGGGAACTCTGTGTCCCCCGAGGCCTCTGGATGCTCCCCCTGGTTGGAGGACGGGCCTGGGGAGCACCAGGGCAGGGGGGGACCCCAGAGCCTGTCCCCCTCCCCACAGACACCCCGTCCCCGCGGGCGGAAGGGCTCGGGGTGGGAGCGGCTTCCTCCCCGGCTGCCGGAGGAAACGGGGCAGGAAGGGCCTGGCCGGGGCCCCACAGTGCTGGGACACGGCCCACGGCACTGAGGGCTGTGGGGGGACAGGGGGGGTCCCCAGGAGCCCACCCAAGGTGACACCAGTCACCCCGAGGCCTTTCTGCCTGGAGTGTGGCCAGCCACAGGGGGGGCAGAGGGGGCTGCAGCCCCACGGGACCCCCCGGGGGAGATGTCCCCCCTCCCCAGCCAGCCTGTCCCCGTCCCCTCGGGGCTCTGTGTGTCCCCCCCCCAGTCACAGCCACACTCCACTGCAAAAAGTCTCTGTATTGGCGAACGCTGAGTGCGCCAGCGCGGTACAAAAGCCCCCCGGGGAGGGGGATGCAGGGCCCCCGCTGTGCCCCCCCCAGCGAGGAGGACACCCATTCCTGAGATGAGCGGTGGCTTCAGGAGCCACCTTGGGGAATGTCCCCACGTCTGTCCCTCGGTGCCGTGACCCCCGTGGCCTTGGGGGGACGGGGACAAGCTGGGACCCCCGGGACTGACCCCGAGCTCCTTCCAGCAGCCCCCAGGGAGGGAGGGGGGGGGCACACGGCCCCTTGCAATAAATAAATAAATAGGCCTGGGGGCCCCGGCGGTGCCCACGGCTAGAGGTGACTCTCCTCCTCCTCCAGCGCCCGGTTCAACCCCGGGATGAACTTGAGGAGCCGCCGGCGGAAGCTGCTGTGTCGGCCTTTTCGGGGCACGGCCGCCCCCTCCCCGGTATCCCCGGCCCGGGCCCACAACCGTCCCGCTGCCCCCGGGCCCCCCCCGCACTTGAGGCT